GTTTTTAAACTGGAGTATCTATACTTCTACTTAAGTAACAAATGTGTGAACTTTTGACACCACTGGCAGCGGCAGCAATGAGGTATAAATAGACGGCTTTGGAAATAGCTGGTTAATGGAAAACTCATCTATAATGTGAAAGATTGCAAAAAAAAAACAACAACTGGATGGACTCTCAGAGTTATGACTTAAAGGTGACAAAACGCAATTTCCTTACAAAACCAGTAATTTATTTCAGTGCTCTGTAGAAAAGTCCTCTCTGTCCTCCTCCTATCCTCTTCTTCTCATCAACCGCTCTGACCAACCAGTTGATCTGAGGGTTGCAGAGAAGAGAGAAACAGGATGAACCTTTTGATTTTTTTAACTGTCAGATAAGAAAAATAATGAAAAAGAGGGTAATTGTCCATGCTGATATTTCCTGCTGAAGGAACAATTAATTTCTGTAAACAAAGTTCATGGAAATTATAAATTCAGAAGAAACAAAGATATGAAAAATGGCCCCCGTGTTCATTTTGTTTTTATTTACCCTCCACAGCAGCCAATGTTCATTTTAGTTATGGAGAAGTTCAGACTTTGTTTGTATTTGAGGTAATATCTATTAAATGAATGCAGTACATTTTTTTCCCTTTTTTGTATACATCACATTTTTTATATATTTGTTTTTGCTTAGAAAAGTATTTAAATTTATCTTAGTAGTTTCTAAAGTCCCTTAATACTACTGGATCAGCAGGTGAACCAATGTGAGTTTAACCGTTATATCCTGTAACTCCGTAAGAGTTTAAAAAACAATCCACTGGACTTGGTTTCCAAGATTTGAAGACGTTTCGCTTCCCCTCCAGTAAGCTTTCTCAATTCAAATGCGAAAATCAGCATATATCCTGTAACGATAAATGATTATATCAAGGGTACTTTAATCAATAAGGAAAAATATTTAGTGTTCTTGTAACATATAAAAAGAAGAAACTGGACGCTGCTTGTGAGGATTGGCAAAAACATGGTGAACAGCATAACCACGGTTCACTATTGTCTTATTGTAGGGACGTCAAGACCACATCAACTGAGACCCAGGAGTGTATATATATATATATATATATATATATATATATATATATATATATATATATATATATATATATATATATATATATATATTTTGATAATTAAAGAACTAAAGGAGCCTGATGGAGCTCCTGAACTAAAATGTTGAGCAACATTTTCAGGCAATAACCCGTGAAATTGTGTGTTTCTGTAACGTTCAGGAAATGGTCAGCCAGGCTTTGGATGTTGGTTCATCAGCAACGGGCCTGAGATTGTCTGGGACAGTATTGTTTTTTAATAACAATTTAAAATCAATATCTAATTTTACTAAATTTTCATTTATTAATTTAATACAACTTTTTCAGTTTATTGTTATTTGTATTAATAGTAGATGTATCATTTTCTTTAATGGGATAGTTTGCACAACTGTATGCACAGAGCCGCTTATATGATGGGCTGCTTCTCTCAGAACAGATGGTGCCATGACCTGTTGTTGGGTCCAGTTTTAACAGCCCTGATAAAGCTGTAGTGTACTGTGCTCTCATCAGGAGCAGAGGACTGCTCTGACCTGTAACATGCTTTCCTCTTGCAGACGGCCTTTAAATTCCTCCAGAAGCACCCCAAGGTCCTGAGCAGCAGAATGGCCATGCTGGGCCTCTCCCTGGGCACCAGCATCACCCTGAGGATGGCTGTGTGTTCTGAAGTTACCAAGGTTTGATTTAGAACAGCTCCAGTTGGATCTCTTAGTGTCCACCTGAACCGATGCAAATCAATTTCTGTCATGATGTTACAAAGTTCAGACCCAAAATGCAGAAAACCGAACAGAGAGACCAGGGAAAAGGTTTAACGGGTTTTACTGAAGAAATTAAACAGAGGGAGAAGTGTTGCTCTGAACACTGCTCAACCGGAACTGTAAAGTGAGGGGAAGACACAG